GGCGTTTTCTTGACGTTCTGTTGCCTCATATTATGTCTCACATCTGACACCTCCTGATACCGACCCATCATCCCATAGACATTAGACATCAACACATAGCYCCYRCAATGCTCAGGTTCAAGATCARTCACTTYTCTTGCAGCAATTTTAGCAAGATTTGCATCRCCRTGGAGATGRCATGCYGCCAAGAAYGCCCGCCARACCACTGAGTTGGTYTTGATGGGCATTTCCGATAGCAAGCCATAGGCTTGCTCAAGRAGCCCAGCTCGGCCAWRCATGTCAATTACACAAGTATAATGTTCGACTGTTGGTACTATATTGTATCTTGACTGCATCTGGCTAAGAAATTCTTGCCCTTCTTTCACTAGACCTCCATGGTTGCAGGCCGATAGAACACCAACGAATGTCACCTCATCGGGCATCAAATTTGCATCACAAATACGTTCAGTGCCTCGTGGCCAAACCTATGCATTGCGTAACCCATGATCATGATGTTCCATGAAGCCGGATCTTTGATGGTCATGTGGTCGAAAACCAATTGAGCTTCTCGCATGCTTCCACATTTGTCGTACATGTCCATAACAGCATTGTTGATGTATGTATCATCATCATCTTTCCCTGATCCCTTTGTAATCATGTACCCATGAATCTCCTTGCCATGCCTCAATGCTGCTAAATGGGAACATGCTGGGAGAACAGTGGTGACAGTGACTATATCCGGACGAAAAAAAACTCCATCACGCAACATTCGTTGAAAAAGCTTTAAAGTTCCCTCATGATCCCCATATTGTTGATGAACACCAATGATCGAATTCCATGAATATATATCCTTAATCGGCATTAGTTCAAAGATATCCAAACCATCAAGAAAGGACTTGCATTTTCCATGCATGTCGATTAACGCATTACAAACTGCAATGCCTGAAAAGTACCCCAATTTTGTCACAAGTCCATGGACAGCCTTTCGTTGTGAAGGTCCCCTTTCAAGATAAGCACCGATAATATGCCGGTCATAGTGAATCTGCTTGGCACATTCCCTTATGCACGTAGCCTCTGTAAGCACTCCAAGGCGTTATGGAATTCCCCAATTTGTGCATAGCCGTTAATCATGGCATTCCATAAGACAACATCTCGGTCAGGCATTTCATCGAACACTTTCTGCGCATCCGCCATCAACCAAGATATTAGATACCCATGAACTATAGCACTACCAACAAACAAATCGTGATCTACACCACATTTAAGAACCAACCCATGAACAATCTTGAAACCCACAACATCCCCACAACTAGAAAATGCCTTAACCACACAAGGGAAGGTGAACTCGTCCATCATAACACCCGACATGCGCATTTTCTCATAGACCCGTAATGCGAGGTTTGGCATGTCATTAAAGATGAATCCAACAATGATTGCGTTGTAAACGAATACGTTGAGTTCACAGTTTGAGGAGGAGGAACTAAAAACCAAAAAGGCGTCGGAGATGGCGTTGCACTTGGAGTACATGTTGATGAGGCTGGTGATGGAGTTCAGGGAGGTAAGGAAGCCATTAATGAGCATGTAAGAATGAAGTTTCTTGCCTTGCTGTAAGTTGGTGTTACTTGCAGATGATTGAAGGGTTGTTATGCATGATTTTAGGTTTGGGAGAGTAGAGAAACTGCGAAAGAAATGAGATTTGCTGATTATGATGACCCTTTTGTACATTTAAAAATCGGGTTAAATACATGAAATAGCAACCTACTTTCATAAAATTTCTTATTATAGCATTCTACTTTTATTTTTCTTTATTACAACAATGTACTTTCAAATTATTTTTTATTAAGACATTGTACTTTAAAAAATCTACCCATAATAGCAATGGGTAACCTGTTACCTTTTAAACCGGTTAACCCTTTGATTTTTTTTGCTTGTGTGACTTTAATGAGGTGATGTGGATGCCACATCATTTTGATGACTTAACTAAAATTAAAATAAAAACTTATTTCAAATTATTATTAGTGATTTTCATATTTCATTACTATGATCTAAAAAAACATTTAATTATTTTTACTTTTTCTTATTAAGTTGCATTCAAATTAAATATTCTTAGAATAAAATATTTATTAAATAAATATGAAACATTATTTTCGAGATATATTTTGTTTGTAAAAAATGTAACTTTTCCTATTTTATGTTGTTCAAATAAATACATATCTTTTAAAGTTTTTTTTAAAATATTAACGAAATAAATTGTTATCTATAWTTTTTTAATATTGTTATATTAATAAATAATTCAAAAAAGTCTAATTAATTTAATATATTTATGCGTCAAGTAAAAAGTTTTTGAACAAATATAATATATTATTTAAAAGATAATATTTTTTGGTAAAAAAATGAATAATTCTTATTTTCATTTTTTCAAAAAACACATATTTTTTAAAAATGTTAGCGAGATAAGTTGTGTTGATCTACTAGTTTTATTGATATTGATATATTAATGAATAATTTAGAATTTTTTTTAATTCATTTAATACATTTATTAAATAACATATAAAATATCTAAATATTAAAATTAAAAATATAGTGTTTAATAAGAACTAGTAGATGCTATAAGAAAATAATTTTGAAAGTACAATGATATAGCAAGAAAATCACATCATTATAGTACATGTGGACAGCCTACGTGGATAATGAGGTGGCATGAAAACCTAGTATAATGGGTAAATTTAAATCAAAAGGTTACCCAATGCTATAATGGGTAAATTTTTCAAAGTACATTGTCCTAATAAAAAATAGTTTGAAAGTACATTGCTGTAATAAGAAAAACTGAAAGTACAATGCTATAATAAAGAAATTTATGAAAGTAGATTGCTATTTTGTGCATTTTGTCATTTAAAAATCTGTAGACAACTTTGTTCTCTGTGACTGAGCTCAATCACATCCTCCATACAAGTATCGGTGTTGAGAAATTGTGATTAGGAGAAAAGTAGAACTCCGCATTTGAGAAAGCAAACTCTGCACATTACCAAACTCGACGATTAGAAGCATGCATAAGAAACTTGTAAATCTGCAGAGGAAAAAGAAAGCTCTCAGTCATACCAAAAATGGTGGTGGTGGCATCATGTTAAAAACACTTGTACATTCTGCTTTCCCACTTGTAATTGAGAGATTCTCAGATTTTATGCATAAAATAGTTGTACGTTATGCATTATGAGTTGCACCTAAGAGTTTTTTCCTAAATTCATATTAATGTAGTACTAGTAGTGTTTAAAAAAGAAGAAATTTTAAGAATTGATGCATAAATGAGTTGTACATTATGGATAAAATGTTTTCTTTAAGAGTTTATGTAGTATATATTTATATACTATATTATAAAATATTTGACAAAAAAAAAACTCTTAAAAATCATCTTTTATACATGAAGTACTGCTTATTGATACATATTACTTATTTAAGACTACAATTAAATTGTGCGTAATTACAACTTATTAAGCTCTACGTTTGAATTCGTGTGATTAACTGCTAAATGTAACAGGATACACTGTTTACTTTTAATTATAAAATATAATTATGATAACTATTGAATTCTAACGGAATACTTATTTTTTATCTTTATAAAAAATTATATTATTAAATCAAAAAATAAATTAATTCGTTAGTAAATCTAAATTAAATTATAATACAAAATTGAATTAAAGAAATTACACAAGAAAATGAGAACTTTTATAGATTTTTTAATTTTTTTTATGATATATTCAAATTAATATTTTGTCAAAAAAACATTATTGTTTGTCCAAAACCATATGAAATCGTATTATAACATCAACAGAAACCAAACAAATAAAATAAAACATTAAAATCAAGATATGTCTCGTTGTATCACACAAGTACCATTCTAGTATATACATATATATAGAGGGTTGCATTCTGATAAGTAGAAAAATTATGGTGAGAAACGTGAAAATAGATCTTCACCATTAGATCAATCATAATCAAATACCAACATTAATGAGGTGTTCAGAGATGTATCAAATCAATTCTCTTCTAAACATACAATTCATAGGTGAACATAAGATCAAAAATAATCAATGATTTAAATCTTTTTCTATATTTTTCACCATAACTTCATTTCTCTCACGATTACTTACCCATATTTAATATAAAAAAAAACATCCATTGTAACTCTAGTTATCACCACCAACCTCAACTACTCTCTATCTTCCACAACTACAATACAACTCCGAACAATAGTAACATGATTCATGTTTATTTAAATTATATTAATATATGGTAATTTATATCATCATTAAATCTTTTATAAATAAACAAATGGAACTTTAAAATCGTTAAAATTCAGGACGCGGCACAGATACAAGCGACTAGTCATGTGTGAAAAACAGAACGAAAGGAGAAAAGAAAAACTTACAGGGGAAGTATAGTGGTGTATATAAAGTTGGAAATTCGAATAATGGAGACGCAGAAACACAGAAAACCCTTTTGGATGAAAGATGTCAGGGGAGACGAAATTCAGTGTCATGTGCAGTCTCTTCAACTGGATTCAGAAATCCAAATCTTCTACGAAGAAGAGATCTAAGTTTCGGAAATTCCTCGATACGTATTGTAAACCCACAGATTACTTCGCCGCTGTCAGATTAATCCTTCCCAACCTCGACAGAGAGCGAGGATCTTACGGCTTGAAGGAGTCGGTGCTAGCCACTTGTATCATCGACGCCCTTGGCATGTCCAGAGAATCTCCTGATGCTCTTCGTCTCATCAATTGGCGTAAAGGGGGAGCCAAAACTGGTGTTAATGCCGGCAACTTCTCACTAGTCGCTTCCGAGGTTACCAAAATTATATCTTTTCCTTTTTTTAAATTCAAATTGATTTTTGGAATTTCCACCAGCATTATTCTACTTATAGTATTGTTTAACGTGGAGGTTCACCCAAGGCCATTCATGATCACCTGCCGGTAAGCTGGTCCTGAAACCCACGGTTATCCATTATCTCCAGCTATTTCTAATAAATTTAGACCAAGATTTAGTTCAGACCAAGGATAAGAGAGCTAGTTTGTACCTTGAGTCAAGAGAGGGTGAATATTGAAAGTATTCAGAAGACCGGATATAAAGAAACTGGAACTGAGGGTTTTAAGCTATGGTATCTATGAATATACATGACTAGGAATCAATCAAGTACGAACAATGATAAATAAGAGCTTGAAAATGTTGTACATATGACTGAAAGACGAAGGTAAAGATGCAATCTTAATAGTGAAACTAGTGTTTGAGAAGGTGGATATTGATACCATTTGTGCAGTAAACTGAAATAAATGAACTCAAGGAGCACCTTTGAGGGTGAGTTACGTCTGACATGCTTCAATGTGTATCGAACGACAATCTTAGGAGGTCCAAAAGGAAGTCGCTCCGAGACTTGGTGAGCTAGGAGTTTTATATAGAAAAGACCTTAACGATCATGTAGGTAGAGGGTATGTAAATTTTCAAGGAGGCTATGGCCATTTGGGCATGATAATAGGAATTGAGAAGGAGAAGGAATTTTATTTTTGGTTAAGTTCTTTTTCTGGGAAATATGGATCTTATGTCGTAACCTTTAGTTAGTGGTCAAAGTTTCAGTGTGATGTCCATTCTAGGAAATATAGTGAAGTCATACTTGGAATGTCTGCAGTCACACATGGTTTTTAGTGAGAGACTTTTTCATCAGGCACGATGTTAGACAAAGTAAGAATGTCAAACACCTTGTAATTAGATGGTGGAACCTAAAAGGCGATAGGATGCCTATGGGGAAGCTAATATGTTTGCCAAAAGAGATGGGAATGCACATTCAGAGAGAAGAATAAGAGATGGTTGGAAAAGTAGCCACCAAATTGAATTTATCTAAAAATTAAAAATGGAAAAAATGGTGTTAAAACAGTACGAATCCATTATCAAGTGTGCAGCATATTAGGTTGAAGTCAAAAGTCAATGTGTACTCTTGTTTGTAACATGAGTATTCGGTTATATTTCCTAACTAAGTGAGTTTTCCTGTGGGAAGGATTTTGACTTTGATTTCTGCAAGCTTCTAGGATATCATTGTAGAATATTTTCTTCCTGGGACAATTTAGAAATACTTTGTGGTGATTGTATTCATATTAAAGATGGATATCCTTGTATAAAACAAACATTTTAGACCCCACTGACGGTATTACATTTTCGTTCCTTTCGTCATTTTAGCTCTCTGCATCAGATCTTTGTTGGCCATTGATGATGCTATCCTTCTTTTGAGAATTGGCTAGTAAACTAGGTACTGAGCATATATAATTTTCTCATGGATATGGAGGCATGGAGCTGTATGCCCACCAATGAAACTTAGATGGGTGTGATTATGTGTTAATTTTTACTGAAAACCTGGCCAATTCATTTATATCATAGCTTATGATGAGTCTTGAAATCTAAGGTAAAGCCATTTGTGTAGTCTTAGTCAATGGAGAAGTGTCATAACTATCCTTTCTTTTTGCTGGGTAGAATCATCTTCGTTGCATTCTTATTCTTGGTTAGACTATAACTTTATGAATATCAGTTAACTACTATGTGAAACAGCTTGGTGAGTGCCTATCTTATTGCAAAGATCCTTACACTAATTTTTACCTGTGGGTCTGAGCAGGTTCTACAGAGGAGACAGGGCATGATTTCTGGTGGACTAACTATTAAGGAGTTAAATGACTTGCTTGATTGCTTAGCATCGAGTGAAAATAGGTATGCTGGTGTTGTCTGTTCACCATAAAACGGCATCTATAAATCTAATTAACAAGGATGTACCTGTTCATTACTTCTTTAATCTTGTATAACTTGCAATGTTGAATCTACTTGTCCCTTGCATCTTCTTGTTTGGGAGCAGCCCCTGTATACTCTGTCTGTACAAAAGACTCTGTATAACACGATGTAAATCACTGTTGATAAGATATTTTGATGGTTACTCCTGATATGAGTCTTGTTACCTTCGAGGAAAAATAAAGAAATTATAGATATTCTGAAGTAACTTACATATGTAAAGTAGTGCCATGGCACTAGGCCGTGCACTCTTTTTGCAACTAGAAAAGAAACAGATTCCAAATGTTAAATTAAGTGATAAACATTATTTACAATTCTGGTATCAATAGTTATATTTTATAGACTTTAATACAGTATGACTTTGGACTACTAATTTTGGAGGGAGAAACTAAGGGTGCAATCTGTAGAAAAGTTAGCGTGTATTTAAGGAGTTACTATCTGACCTTTATTTTACCTTTTTTAAATTTAACTGAAAACCATCATAACTTGTTGAAACATTGTAAAAGGTGAGCTCAAGGTGCAACTCCTCTCTATCTCTGCACCTTGTACCATGCCATGTTGCATAAGGCACACACTATTTTGTGAAGATAGCCACATGTGGGCCTAAGATGCAACTGTTCACTAGTATCATGCCATGATCTCAAGTAATAAAGAAATATCTTATCTTCGTAAGGAGCGATGCTTATTGTTATCTTACAGTTAAGTTAGATATTGCTTGTGCTTCTTGATATTAGGTGGTGCTTATGGTTGGTCTATATATAAATTTTGTAGAAGCTTCATCAGCTTTCACAATGAACTCACCCACTTATTTAATCATTTGTTACTCGAGTGTTTTTGTGTTGTATTAGTATTACATCTCTGATTGGGACTCGGTGCTATATCGCTTTACTACAGAATAATCAGGGATTATTTCTCTATCGTGATGTAGTATTATATTTTTTTGTATCTGAGGTGTTCATCTAAAATTTCGGGCTTAAATATTTTACACTAGCTGTCCTTGACCCTGTATGCATATTGGGAAATCCCTATTATAAGTATTGGGTTATCACGACATAATTGTTGATTCATGGTTCTCATGATGGGATGGTAGTTTACTTGGTTGATGGAAAAATTTTATGCTATGGTTTTCATGCTTATGTCTATCATCTTTATGGCCAACTGTTGTGGTCGATCTCGCCTTTTTTCTCTTTTTTCATCTCTATTTTCTTTGTTGTTTTTGCTTCGCTTTAATTATCCGTTATGACAGAACAGAGAAGATTTCTGTTCTTTCTGATCTGATCAAGAAAACAAATGCACAAGAAATGAAGTGGATCATCATGATTATCCTTAAAGGTTTGGTAGTTATTTATTGTTAGCAACTGGTTATGGTCCTTTTATAGAGCTTGATTTTGTTTCTGTTTTAACATCTTTAAGATCTCAAGTTGGGAATCAGTGAAAAAAGCATCTTCCATGAATTTCACCCCGATGCTGAAGACTTGTTTAATGTCACTTGTGACCTAAAACTGGTTTGTGAGAGGTTGAGGGATCGACATCAACGGCACAAGCGCCAGGTAGACCTTGATTTAAACTTTCTCATTTTTCAGCATGTGATATTTATGGAATTTTCTAATTGAGCTCCAAGCTTCATGATATGAAACAATTTCCTCCTTCTCAAACTCATCTTTACACCTTTTTGATAATTACATACATATATATACTTATAAATATGTGTGTTTGTACAAATACATGTATATATGTGTGTGTTTGTACAAATATATGTTCATATTTGTATGTGTGTGTGTGTTTTTGTATATGTATGCATACATATTTATGTGCATGTGAACATTTGATTTGGTTCAACTTTTGATGGCAGTCGTTTGAAGTATATAATGCATTTCATTATTTATATGATTTGGCATTATTCCAATCACTAATATGATGTTTAATTCTTGCAGTCTTTTTCAGTAATGAGATGATATTTTAGGATTAATATCCACATCTAATTGGAAATTTATATTAATAAATCAAACAGTCATCATCCAGTTTGATTTTGCAATCTTTTGAAAAGATACAAAAAATGAATTAGAGAATTCAAAAAATAATCATGTATGAGTTTATTTTGTTCATCACCAATTAACCTATTACAATGAAGTTTAAGTAAATGTATTATCAAATTCAGTCGCAATTTCATCTGGATTCAACGTAAAAACCCAATATATTCAAAACTTAGTATGATGCTCTTAAATATTTTCAAGAGTTAAATATGAAGCTATGAAGGTTTATATATCACAGAAGTATCAAATTAATTTAGTTTCTACATTACTGATGAAATTAAAAAAATTCAGTTATCATCTTAAAGTAGTTGTTTAAATGTGCTATACAAATAAAATCTATTACAATGAAACTTAACTAAATGTACGATGAAACTTAATTGAAAATTGATCTGGATAGAATGTAATCAAAACCCAACATGTTCGAAACTTTGTATGATGTTCTTAAATATTTTCAGGAGTTAAATATGAATCCATGATGATTAATATATGACAGAAGTATCAAATTGAATTAGTTTCTTCATCATTAATGAAATTGAAAAAAAAATATAATTATCATTGTAAAACTGTCGCATAAATGTTTTGTACAAACATAATCATGCTAGATTTTAGAATGTGTAGCTCTTTAAAAGATTTTGATGCAAGTTGATTCAATATATTACACATTTCAAATAAGATAAAATGTGAATGAATCATAGTTGATGTAAAAGATGCCTTTGTCTTCATATAAATGAAAAATATATTTGTTTGTATATCACTACTTTTAGAAGAGTTTTTTGGTTTTGCTAAATTACCATGTTTATGATGAAAAATTTCTATATGACTTACAAACTAATAAAAAACATGTCGCCTTTCAAATTATTAGAAGACAATTGCTAATGTATTTAAATCAAAAGCTATTTTTTGCGTTGATTCTTCTTTAACATCACTTAATAAGTTTTCATAAAGCAACATACCTGAGAGTGTTGTCGTACCAAATCCTCTAACATGTGCCAATATATTGGTCCTGTACTTTCTTAGATACAGAATTAATTATCCTTACGGCACAATTTATCATCACCACTGTAGCATCATTCCTTCTCTTTATCATATCTTAGGCAGGGAAGGGTGAGATTTTCCTTGCATGATGGTAAATATATCTGATTATGTTTTAGAATTTAGCACTAGATGTCCATTGTAGAGGTCGAACTTTTGAAGCTGTGACTTTTTGCAAAGGTATATCATAATTTAGTTGCTTGTGTGGTGTTACATTGCATGCTTTTCTCTTTTCAGGATATAGAGGTTGGAAAAGCTGTACGCCCTCAATTGGCTTTGAGGGTTGCTAATGCAGCTAGTGCATGGAAAAAGGTATACACTGTTGGTGAGGGGACATGTAATTAGTTAACCTAATCTGCTTCTTTATATGTGAAGATTTTTCCTAGAACAAAATTGCCATGGCCCCCTTGCTCACATCTTTTACTTCTCTCTTTCTACAGCTTCATGGAAAGGAAGTTGTCATTGAGTGCAAATTTGATGGTGACCGTATCCAAATCCATAAGAACGGAGAAGATATACACTTCTTTTCGAGGTAAGCACATCCTTGAAACTGAATGTTTATCCGTTTTTAATTTTCATTATTGATTTCTGGGACTTTTTGTTGTCTATGCTACACTTTTTAACAAACTATTACCATAAGCCTAAGCACAAGCTATGACTAACATACCCTTCATGCTCTTGCTTCTTAAATGTGGAGACATCTTATTAAATTCTGGTAGATACATAGAAAATAGGACAAGCTGCAATGCTTAAAGGTTTATTGAAATAAAATGAATTAAACTTTAACAACAGACCTTGAAGTTCCCATGTCATGCTAAACAACTATCTCATCTATAAGCTAAAGCTATTCAAGCAGGTTCTGTTCCTTTATGTGTTTGCTGTTTTTATAAAAAAGGACACATGTTAGTTGAATGAAGCTTAAAACTTTCTTCGTGTTGCAGGAATTTTCTTGATCATCCAGAATATATACATGGGATGTCAAATATTATCATCCAAAATGTTCTTGTTGACAGGTAAAAAGTAGCCATTATGTTGTAAGATATTATATCAGACAATGTTTTTTCTTTCTGATTTTGTTTCACTAGCTCATACATTGGACTTGTATTCTGCTGTACTGCTCCTTCCTGAGATTGCAAATGTGTAATCATATGTGGTTTTGTTTCTAGTTCTTTTTCCCTGACTCTGGCTGGTTCGTGTTTTAGGTGTATACTTGATGGGGAAATGTTAGTTTGGGACACATCAAATGAGCGTTTTGCTGAATTTGGTTCAAATCAAGAAATAGGTTTGAATACTCGTCCCTATTTTCTCTCTTTGTCTAATGTTGCATATTATATTCATATTCTGACTTTTATTTTCAGCCAAGGCTGCAAAAGAGGGACTTGCTAGTGAGCGACAGGTTACCTTTTGTGGCATTTGGGTTTAGTTGATGTTTCATGAAGGAAAAACATTGACTGTCTTTTATTTCTCTGATGCAGTTATGCTGTATCCTTCTCTTGCACCTAAATTCTATATAAGCTGTAGCCCTCTAGTAGCTGTAGCCCTCTAGTAGCTGCAGCAACATATTTGTTTCTTTGACTATGTTAAACCCTGACTTTGGGTTCTGCTAGACGTGGCATTTGATATTCTCTATGATGGAGACACCAGTGTTATCCATCAAAGCCTAAAGGAACGTCATGAGCTGCTAAAGAAGGTTGTGAAGCCAGTCAAGGGTCGTCTGGAGATCTTGGTTCCTGATGGCGGTCTTAATGTTCATAGGACTGTTGGTAAATATTTCTTAATGACACTTCCTTTTGCTGACAATTGTCATTGGCTTTCAACTAATCCCATTTGAATGCAAATTGAAAATGAATCTGCTTTACCTCTTCCTTTTAGTGTTGATCTTGGTTGGCATTCCTTCATTTTCTTTTCTTTTGGGGGTCTTGTTTGTGGTTAGGGGTTCAATAAATTCCATTCCAATTAATTTTAACTTTTTAGGGGTCATGTGCCCTAAGGTTTTTATAATTTGTAGAGATTGATTTTAGTAATTATCAAGTGATGAACAATTTTTAGTCCCTGAACTTATGTTGAAGCAATAATTTTAGAATTATTAGCATTTGGTTGATTTTATATGGACCTATTTACATTATGTGTTTAAGCAGACAATTTCATATCGAGGCTTCTTGGCCAAATTCTGTTTCGTCTATGATAAGAGAACTCTTTGGATGCTCATCTTAGATGCTGAGCAGCTGAGGCTTTATAAGTATAAAATGACAGTAATTATGTGTTGTCCATGTCTTTCTTATAAGGCAGTATTGTGCTGTTAGAGATGCAATTGTAGTTATTTCCATTTTGACATGAAATGATAAGCATGGACTGCTCTATGAATCTGTGGACTTGTTTTCATAATAAACAATAGAATCATCTTAGATATCCATGTTGTATTCAACATTAGTCTTTTTTATAGCTCAGCATCCCAGAAAACTTTCTAGTTACACACTTGCTTCCTCTCTGTGTTTGTTATAATGGAATCATTGCAGTAATGGAATGAGTAATTCCAAAGGAATTAAGATATGTAGTTTGATTAGACATTTGGGAGTGACTGATGACTACCGTCTTCCAGTTTTGTAGACTTCCCCTTTTGATTATTATGGTGTCTGCCATAAGTTTCCTAAAATGATCAACTTTATATTGAGAACCACTGTGATATGTTGCAAAACGTTCGTTATGACATGGAACATGATGTCCTTGTCGAGGTTCTTAGAAGCTGCTTTATGTTATAGTTTTTTTAACTTTCTTACTTCCTTGTTTGTCTCCCTCTTTCCAAGGTTAGATTACTGTATTTGTAAGCTAGGAAGTAGTAGTGCTTCTACCCTTATGTGGTTCCCATAGCTGGTGCTTCGGAGGTGTGTGCACCCCAAGAACCTTTGACCATACCGATGAACTATTGACCACAAAATTCATAGAGATATGAGAATGAGGACTCGCAGGGGGCAACTTTCGTTTTTTTAATACCAAAAAATAGTCGAAATTCACAATTTGCAAATATTAAACAAAAGCTAATGTTGAAAATAGACTCAAGTTTATTTAATGAATGTGAGAGAAATACAACGCAACATAACAAGTTATCTTTTTGTAGTTTGGGCTAATATAGACAGAAAGTAAAATTAAAAGCATCAAGGACATATGACATAGGGTTTAGTGTGAATCTGTCTCATCTATTTAATGCATAAATCATGAAACTGCAGGTTGTTTAATTTCTTTTGTAGACTTGTATATACGTCTACACACATATATAATTACATCCCCTACCATCAGCTTTCTAGAATTCTGATTCTTGGTATTCACATATCATACACCCCTATATTATCCATGTACTTGTATAGCTGTATCCTTGAAAGATTCTTTATATGGCTGCTTTTAGCTATTAACACTTGCACTTATAGGCTTTCGTGGTTGATGTTCTAAAGTAAATTGAGAGAAATGCACCAAAGAGGGAGTCATTAAACCTTCAGAAGGTACTAACAAAAAATTTCTAGCAACCTTGAGGTTGCACCTCCTCTCTGGGCATCTGGTTTATTCATTTCCTTGATGCTCTGGATGTTAGCATCTGATCATTCCCTTCGGGTATTTGTGTTCTTTTTCCTGACTTCCCTTTTATGAAACTGTAAGGCACACATATATGAACTCACTAGAATTAAGGATAAGTTAAGAAGATTTAGCTTTTGTATTTTGCTAATGGGAACATGTACTGGTGAATAAAACCTGATTGCTTAAGCATATATCTTAGGCTATTGGCAATCTGTTATTTGATCTAACCTTTCATGTAAAGCATCTATTGCGTGTAGCGTTCCAAACTTGTGTTTCGTTCCATCATGTGGAAACATTTACTATTTTCAAAATAATATTGGCAATTCAGGGGAACCTTGTTGGTCACAAGTTGCTCATAATGTTGACGATGTTGAGACATTTTTTAAACGAACCATTGAGAACAGGTCAGTGTTTTATCAGTTAAAGTAGTTTTTGTTTTAGTACTTTATCTGCGAAGCTATTTGCACTATGAAAGAGTTACACTTATGGAGTTTTGGACTCATTGAGTATCTGAAGTTAGATACTTAACAAGTCCAAATCTTCATATGAGATTGGATAAAGATAAATCTTTCATTGTACAAAACATCTTGACAAATAAAAGGTGATTCTTGTTATGGACTTAGAACTGACAAATGATGATTCTTTTATGTGCTTTTTATGCACAAATGTGGCGGCCTTAATTGTATTTTTGTTGCACTAGTCTTGCTGCCTTGTTATCTCTTGATGGCTCGACTTTCTAAGCTACGAAGCAAAGGATATTTCAGCATCGTGCAATGCTACTTCATTTAATATGCATTATATATATCACAAGAGAATCATCTTTTACCACTAAAGAAGTTTTTTCTTCCAGCAATACCATTTAATATGCATAATATAGTCAATGATATATTTGTAAATATAGAGATGAAGGAATTGTTTTGAAAGACCTTGGCTCCAAGTGGGAACCTAGTGATCGGAGTGGCAAGTGGTTGAAGTTAAAACCTGAATATGTTAGAGCTGGAGCTGATTTGGATGTTCTCATAATAGGTTGGTAGTGTTTCTTTGTTTCCCTGAAGATGTTAAATGGTCCTAGTTTGTGCTTAGATTCAAGTATTTGTTTTCAGGAGGATATTACGGCTCTGGTCGTCGTGGTGGACAGGTGAGGATTGATCTTCTCAGTTATTGTATTCTTGAAATGGAATAATGAAATACAAGTTACTTTAATTGAAGGTTGCTCAATTTTTGGTGGGCCTGGCAGAGCGCCCTGCCTCAAACACCTATCCTAGGCGGTACGTTGCTCTTATAAATTAAATTTTGCCTCGTTTCTAAATAATGGATATACCTCAAGTCTGTATGCATATGATCCACTGCTCTAGTTACTTGCCTAGCAAATACTTTTATCCTTCTTCATTGGAGTTTTTGTAACTTGGAGAGTAGTTTCTGTATAATATAGATCCGGACAAAAGAATAAAAATGTATTATTCTTGTTTGTCCTTGACAATTTCTAAATAGGTAGTATATTAATGTCCAATGCTGTCAAAGCATAACCAGATCTAGCCATGCTTTCAAGCTCCCATGCCTCAATCTTTTTGGAATCATCATTTCATGTAAATGCCAAGGTTCTCGCTTGTATTATCTTGAGAGAAATCTCTACCTCTTTATTCAGTATTGTTTATCCACTCCGTAAGTACTTGATTGACTAGTTTTCTTTTATCAAACCAAAAAGGAAGGTAAAAACCATATATTGATCATTGTAATTTTAATTTAACTAACAATAGGTCAACCAACTTTCAAATTTGACTATTGAGTTACTTAAGCCATTGTTGTTAATAACTGTCGAAAGCATGTTTGCGAGACAACATGCCATGTGGTTAACATACGCTAGTTTATTAGCTTATCTTTAGAATTTCATTACAGTAGCACTTGGTACTTGGTAGTCATCATGTGTAGTTACTATAATGGTTCATCGCTTGGTTGATACTTTACATCTATGTGGTGTTTGTATGTAGAATGATGACTTGTTTTAACTGCTTTTAGCATCAGGTATTTTGCATTTAATGCTTAAAGTTGTATGTTTGATCATATGTTGAACTGTTCAATGTGCTCTATAAGTAAACTAGTACACGTGTAAATTGCAGCTTCTGAATTGATTGTTGCAGTACAGACGCCATGCTGCTGTATATATGTTGGCTATTTGCTACCATCATGACTCATAGTGGCCCCATGACAACTATGCATGGGAATGTTTTCCCAAAATGATTTCCCGGTTTCAATTTACTTTGGAACATAAATGATTTCTAGTATTGTACCTGGTTTTGTCAACAATACGTTTTCTACCAGTATAATTAATTGAAATTCTCAATCAAATACGATTTATTTGCAGGTTCATTTCCTTCTGCAGAGTGGGTACTGGACTCTCTGATGAGGAGCTCGATGCTGTTGTAAATAAATTAAAGCCTTATTTTAGGTAATGGATGGTAATTTTTGTGGGGATGCTTTTTCTTTGATAACATCGATTACCGTAGTTAAGGTGCAATGCACAAAGCACAAGTCCCAGTACCCTACTTATTCTTTTTATATATTTTCTTGTCGTTACTTGCCCTGGATTTTCATATGATATGCGAGTTTCTAATAATAAGAATCACTGCAGGAAATACGAATACCCGAAGAAGGGTCCCCCTAGCTATTTCAAGGTCACAAATAACTCAAAAGAGAGACCAGATGTCTGGATTGATAGTCCTGAGAAGTTAGCATTCTTTTCCCTGTAAAAAGATGAAGAATTTTTCCTGTCAATATGAATACTTCTCACCATTTTCCATCTTTTTCTGTCAAGCACAGATCAATCATACTTTCTATCACCAGCGACATCCGTACAATTCGCTCTGAGGTGTAGCTGTAGAATCTTGCAACGTTCTTTTTGTGCAGCTTGACCAATTTGTAAGATGGTGACGATGAATTCTTTTTGACCTTTTAGGTTTTTGCTGCTCCGTACAGCTTGAGGTTTCCTCGAATAGACAAAGTAAGGGATGATAAACCTTGGCATGAATGCCTTGATGTGGAATGTAAGTGGGTAAATCCCTTCAAGCTTCTTTTGTTGTGGATTTTTCTTTTTTCCTTTGCCACATACAGTAGTGATGTATGTTTTATGGTTACAACTTTCTATGGTTGGTGTTCTAAGTATTGAAGTTGACTCTTACAGCTTTTGTAGAACTGGTGCATTCTAGCAATCATACGACGCAATGGGGGGGAAATTATGAAAAGCAACAGGAAAATAAACCAAAACGATCAAAATCATCAAGGACTGCAGATAAGAAGAGTAGTTCTGTCGTTCCTTCTCACCTCCTTCAGACTGATGTTTCTCAGATTAAGGGAGAGACCTTGATATTTTCGAATATGATGTTTTGTATCCTTCTACCATATTCATTACACGTCCCTCATTGCTCTTTTTTTCTAAGAATATTTTGAAATGCTAGCCTCACTTTGACTGTATGCTTTTACTTGTTCATCAGTTCATGAATTTAACTGAGTTATTGGATGATAGAAATCAGGATCTTTGTAGGATGTTCGTATGATAATCACCCAAATTGTAGTTCTTTTCCATCTTTTTGGTAGATCTTTCTAGGATGTTCATATGATGATCACCCACATTGTAGTTTTTTCCTCCTTTTTTGGTGGTTTTCTCGTGAAGTGCCCTTTGAAGGTAAATCTTGTTTTTGTTGGGATGACAGTGTTATGGCTGCCGGCTCATTTCTAATTTTGGGAGAAAAAAACTTCCTTTGTTGCATATTTTTTCAACCTTCGAGAAGGCTTACAATGAGTTAATGGCCCCATTATATCTATGTTTATCTGCTCTCTTTTTCTTTCCGATGCAATTCCCTACATGTCAACTTTGAATATCATGTTTAATCTTTCCTGAACTTGTAGACTTTGTTAATGTACCTCCGACACATTCTTTGGATTCATTTCATAAAATGGTGGCAGAAAATGGTGGTACCTTTTCAATGAATTTGAATAACTCGGTTACTCACTGTATTGCTGCAGAGAGTAGAGGTTTCCCTTTTCATTTTATATGACTTCTCTCTCTCGCCCCCTCCTTTCTTTGCTTGAAAGATTCATGTGGACTTCTTCTGGCAGGGATCAAGTTTCAAGGTGCAAAGAACCATGGTGATGTTATCCACTACTCGTGGCTGCTTGATTGTTGTTCACAGAAGAAACTTGTTCCCTTACAACCCAAGTAATTACAGCCTTACCTGTTACTACCTTTTTGTGTTTTCAGTTTTTCTGGAAGTGTGATATTATTTTGCGGTACGACAGGTATTTCCTTGTCCTTTCTGAGTCTTCCAAGAAGAAATTACAGGAAGAGATTGATGAATTTTCGGACGCTTACTACTTGGATATTGACATTAAAGATATGGAACAGGTAACCAAAGTAGGATCATGGTTGTATAGACAGGAAATTCTCACGCACATTACTCGTGTGTGGTGAGGATTGAACCCTTGATCTCTCGGGAGGCTGGGCTTTACTGGTAACCCAGATACCGTTGGGCCAGTAGGATCTTGGGTTGGTTACAATTTTTGAATGTTAGTATGTTACAAAATCAATAGACCAAACCCCCATGAATGCATTTGAAAGAAGGAAAAGGTAAGTGGTATGATTTCATGGGCCATGGTTGCCATCAGCTCTTTTGTAGATTCTCATATTGGGATGTCCTGGGAAATGTTGCCTGCTTTGTTTTATAAATTTGTTCTCTTGATCTGCCATGTGTCCAGCTTTTGAATAACATCAATAGATCCGAGGATTCTAAAACCATAGACTATTATACGAAGAAATACTGTCCTTTGGAAAAATGGTCGCGCTTCAATGGGTGCTGCATGTACTTCTATAAGCCAGCAAACTGCCTGTAAGATCCTGTTAAAGTTTTTCTACTTCCTTTTTCATTTTTTAATTAGCGAAATTCTAACATAGATGGTCAACCACGGGTTTTACCTGAAGGGGTTTGGATTGGGAAGCTTTACTTGAACTTACAACGAGGAGGATAAAGCTCGAAGTTTGCTTTGGTGGTGGCAAAGTTAGCAGTTCTATCTCTAACGCTACTCATTTGGTGGTCATGTCTTTGCCAGGATTCAATGTGGACTTTGATACTATCGTAAAAAGGTAATCTACAGTTACCTAAAATACCCTGCTGTATGTTGCTTTGAGATACTCAATTTGGTGCCTGCTCCAGCCAATTGATAATTTAGGAAAGCTTGAGCGTCTTTGGCCTAAGTTACTTTTCGTTTGAAAAGGGTAAAAACCTAAAAATAACAAGCAATTGGATGCATAGTAAGCATGCTATGAAAGCGTAAATATCTTAAAGACGTTTTATTGGAAGTGTTTGTTCTAAAGATATCTAGTTGTATGTATGGAATTGGCTTCTAATCTTAATATTAACCGTACAGTTTCTCAGCATCGGAGAGGCGTCTGTTAAGGAACAAAAATTTACATATTGTTGACTGTCAATGGTTAGAAGACTGTTCCGAAAAGGACCTGATGCTGCAAGAGGAAGAATACAGTATGAGACCATCTGGTTTTATTTTTACAGAATCAACTTCATCCGAGTAAGTGTAAACATGCCTTCTTTGCGTTTATTTTCAAACAGATAAATTCGTAGCCTATTTAGTTTATCAATAAACATCATAAACTGTAGTGAACATAAACTCGAGCCAGAAACCTTCTCAAGCTTGAAAAAAGAAGATAAAGATGAGAAGAAAAACACAGTTAATATAGAAGTACCGACTTCAGATAAATATGGCAGAAATAGAGGGGGGAAGATGAGAGGGAGACCAATTAACACGAAAACAAGTACTAGAGGAAGGATAGGTTTGAACCAGCGTCAAAGAACCAGGGCAAGATCTGGCAACAAGGCTGTGAAAATACATGAACACGTATCCGCCGATGATGATGATGATGATGAGGTTCCTGTAGATGAAAGCCATGTGAAGGATGATGAAAAGAGTTGGCATGAAATGCAAGATGTCATTGCAGAAGACACGGAAGTCGTAGAAAAAGCCATTAATGTATCTCCTAATGCAAAAGTTACCACAGAATATAGTGGCAAAATGGCCGATGCTGCTGCTAATAAAGAAAGCGATAAACTGGAAGTCATGGTTGACCCTGTTCAAGCCATGTTGCTAGATATGATCCCGAGCCTGGAGCCAAAGACCGAAAACAAAACCGTTGTGGATCCGCCTGTTGCCAAGAGAGGAAACCCAACTTTGGATTCTAATCCAGGGCCTTCAAAGAAGAAGAAAGTCAGTTACAAGGATTTGGCCATGGAGCTGCTCAAAGATTAGTGTTCTTATCTTACAAAATCTTTGTTTATGGTCAAAATGTACACATTGACTCTCTTTGAGGTTCTTGTTGGGACTTGGAAGTGTTCTAAGGACTTTGAATCGTTCTATGTACAAATTCTAATTGCACTGTGTTTTCAAGTCTTTCTGTAAAACTATCGGTTTAAAAGTCAAAGGAACAAGGACAGCTCCAACCAGTGGTGGATGCAGAAACAATTATTGTAGGGGTTATAATATAAGATAAAATAATAATTAACTTTAATTTCATTAAAAATGATAAAAAATTACCTCTTACAACTGTGTCCTACGACTTTTCATCTTTTGGAATTGGCTAATTATATCATTATTTGAAACTATGAGAAGTGTTTCTTTTTCTATAATACATGTCATTGTAGCATTAATGAAATCCATTCACCGAGTTTTTTTTGTGCAAATATGATTTCACAATCTTCATAGTAGAAAAACATCTTTCGACTGTTGCGGTGGCAACAGACAGAACCAAAGCTAGCTTCAATAACCAATATGCTAGAGGATAAGTTGTATGTTTTTTTTTGTCTCCACTAGCAATTTAGCGAGCTCGGCAATACCATTCAAATCGACAAATCTTTCATCTTGACGCACAATCAAATATTACATCTTAAGTTGTTTCTCAAGAACGATCATTTCTATACGACTAAAATCATGAGAATACAACTCACTCAACTTCAATAAATTTGATATATTGAACTGTGAAAATGAATCATATGGACTCAAAGCTAATATATTTTTAAGCAATTCAGTGCTTACCTCACTAAATCGATCCTCGAACTCTTGAATTTGCATGTCCACAACAGTGTTGAAAATATCAAACTTGTAATAATGACGATTAGTGATGTTCGTCCTTTGTCTTCCATTTTTTAAACGACGACTTCCATATCCAAAGATTTAATATCATTTGCTTCACAAAAAGAATACATTTTCTTCAAAAAGGGATCAAAACCAGGTTCTCTAAATTGTTGCAATAGTTGTTTAGTTCCTCTTGTCAATGAAACCGCTTTTAAAATATCTTGATCCTTTTATTTGAAAAGCCCATGACAACAAGTCTGTGACCTCTAAAATATGAAACATCAAGTGCAAATAAATCACGAAATCAAATGTCTTCAAATATGCTAAAATACCAGTTGCTTGAGTGTAACTAAAACCATTATCCCGTTCTCTTCAACATATTGGAGCACTTCAACAACATTCGGGAACAAAGCAATCAAACTCAAAATGGTTTTGTAATGCGAACCCCATCGTGTATCTCCGGCTCATATAAAAAAAGCTCTTGGTACATCCATGTTCTAGTTTCAATTTCACACTTACCAATTGCTTCTTGCACTCTATCTTTGTAACTTTGTCGAAGCATGTCTTTACGCTTGCAAGAAGCATTCACCACATTAATCACCATTCCTAACATATTAATTTTTTTTAACTCCGTCATGTTTATTTGCAACCGACACAACAACTAATTGAAGTTGGTGAGCAAAACAATGGATATAATATGCCGAACTATTGTCATTGAAGATCAAAGCCTTTAATATATTGAACTCACTGCGCATATTGCTTGCTCCGTCATAGTCTTTCCCTCTTATCTGTTTCAAACTCAATCCATGTTCAGCAAATAAAGTATCGGTGGAAGATTTAAGAATTGAAGAAGATGTCCCCGTCACATGAACAATGCCAAAAAAATCTCTTCTTAACAATACCACGTGCATCAACATATCGTAAAACCACCACCATTCATTCCTTACTTAGAAACGTCACTAGACTCATAAACTAGCAATGAGAACATATCATCACCAATTTTTTTACGAATGGATTTGAGTATTTGATTTGCAAAACTGTAACGCCCCAACCCACACATTGCATGTAATACATATTTCATACCAAAGAAATACATATTCATATACATTCGGGTCCACTAGTACAAGAAATCTACTATGACCAAACACAAGGTCCAAAAATTCAAAATACTATCTTGTACTAATCATCAGAGCTATGCATCAAAAGCAAATCTTCAACCAAAATGCACGAAAGAAAAGCACTAAATCTTTTCCTTTCCTTTTCCTTCCACACTTCCTGCAATACACATTTTTAAAACACAAAACGAGGGTTAGACTATAAARTCTAGTGAGATACCCTATTCATGTCATTGCATGGTGAAGGATCACCAAAACCTTTGCAAAATCAAGTATTCATATAAATAACAAATATATATGAATCCGTAATACCAAAATACCAARTCATTTCTCAAATTCAAGCTATCACTTAGCTTATTCAATTCTCATACCTTTTGAACCAATCAGGTTCCGTAAAATGCCACTTTTTAAACHTTTTTCYYAATAACGAGGTTTAACAAAGTTTCAGGCCAAAACAGTTCTTTYCTCCACAATAACATCCAATCTATGATTTCCAAATAAGAACCTTGATCCTAAATCCTTAAATCACAAAGAAATAAAGATTC